TCATAGAAAATCACAGGAAATGGTGCCTTCAATCATCTTCATCCTCTGAAATGTTGGATGAGTTTAGAAATGACCTCCCATGCAATGGTTGTCAGCCTTGGTTGAAAGTTCAAATCATCTGAAAAGCTTTTAAAATTCTCAACACCCACACTATGTGAATGAACTCAGAGACTTCAGGGATGAGACCCAGGCATAAGGATGTTTTCAAAGTTCCCAGGATGATTCCAGTTTATTGCTCACTGCCCCTCTGGAACTTTGCAACCCCTGCTCCAGATTCCTAGATGTGATCATGGACATAGCATGGATAAAAACTGGGTCAGAGATGGGGTAACAAGGTTTAACCTACTTCACTATCTTATTCCCAATTGAATCTTCCATTCCCACTCTGTTTACAATAACCAGTTTTTCAAAATTAATTCCTTCCAGGCCTGGTGGTGCACACCTGTAATATCAATAGCTTTGGAGGCTGAGGAAAGGAGGTTCAAGAGTTTGAGGCCAACCTAGGAAACTTAGCAAGACCCTGTCTCCAAATAAAATAAAAAGGGATAGGAGTGTGGCTCAGTGGTAGAGGACCTCTGAGTTCAATCCCCAGTAAAACACACACACACACACACACACTCTCTCTCTCTCTCTCTCTCTCTCACACACACACACACACACACACACACACACACACATCTTAGCCAAAAATTAAAAATTTCAAGAAATCTATTATATAGCTTCACTAAGAAACTGAATCATAAGCAAAACTTGGTGAAAACAGGAACATTTTAAAAGAATAACTTAAAGAATAAAGAATGCATAGGCATGATAGTTATTTTAAGACCCTTCATTTGCTTCTAAGTTTATATATGTGCCAAGGATCAAAAGCACCAAATAAAAGAAAAGGAAAAGAAAAAAGTTTTAAATAATTTAAGGATCAGAATAAGAAGACAGTAGACCCTTCTATCCTTAAGGGATAGGACCCTCAGTGGGTGCCTGAAATTTTAAAGAGTACCAAACTCTGTTTGTTTTTTCCTATACATACATGTAAATTCATAAATTAGGCACAGTAAGATATTAAAAATAACTAATAATAAAGTAAAACAATCATAACAATATTATATATAAAATATATATTTTTAGTTGTTGATGAACCTTTATTTTTTTATTCATTTATTTACATGTGGTGCTGAAAATTGAACCCAGTGTCTCACACATGTGAGGCAAACACTCTTCAACAGAGCCACAACCCCAGCCCAATTATAATAATGTATTATAATAAAAGTTATGTGAAGTGATATCTCTTTCAGGGTATCGTATACTATATATACTAAAGGGAGGGTAGAGTATACAGTGTGGAAACAACAGACAAAGGAACAATTCACATCCCAAGTGGTATAGAGCAGGATAGCACAGATTTCATCATGCTATTCAGAACAGCATGCAATTTAAAACTTACAAATCATTTATTTCTGGAATTTCTTATTTAATATTTTTGGACTTCAGATGACTGAAGGTAACTAAAACTGTTACCTTTGTAAAGTGAATAAGGGGGTGAATATAAAAAACTATATTTTATAAAGAGCAGAAAAGTTGTTAGGAAAAAAAGAAAAAAAAAACCTAAGACCAGTAGAAACTAGGTAGGTCTTGGCTCTGGGATTTTCCCACTGCATACTGCACTGTGACAAAGAAGCCACCTAACCTTTCTGAGGCTCACTTTCCTCCTCTGTGATGAGCATCCTCACCCCAGAGATGCCAGTCCTCACTATCAGCTGGACATACTCTGATTCTGTTATTTTTAACTCTGAGTTGAACAGGTTAGAAGTAACATAAGCCTTGTCTTTCTTGAGATGAAAGCAAGAAGAGCATTACTAATTAAAGAATGGTTCAAGAACTCATCCAGGACCATGGCTGTTTCTTACCAATACACAACAGATAAGAATCTGAGAATCATGGTTTAGAAACCTGCATAGTAATTTAACAATCTCTGTTGAATCACATAATAAAATATTGAGACTTGTTTTTTCATATCTTTGGGTGTCTATCTCATACTAGGGATTGAACCCAGGGCCTCTTTGAGCATGCTAAGTGCTCTCCTAGTAAGCTACATCCCCAGTCCTCTTTTTTTATTTGTTTGTTTGTTTGGTTTTTGTTTTGAGACAGTCTCACTAAGTTGTCTAGATTGGCCTTGAGCTTGTGATCCTCCTACTTCAGCATCCCACGTTCCTGGGATTACAAATGTGCACCACCACACCCAGCTATCTTTGTATTTTGATTTCACATTTTTAGTAATCAGGTTTTACTATATTTTATAAAATGTATGCTCATAACTTAAAAAATTATACCCATCAGTAATTTGGGACATACTGAACTGGAGGAACAAGATTGCCTTTAGCATCAGTGCCAATGTGCATTCAGAAAGGAAAGAGTGAATGCAGAGTAATTGATTTTTGCCTTGCACATTTTGAGTTTGATTTTAAAGGCCCATTTCATTTGATCTTAGGTTGTTCTAATTGACAGTTATTTTCTGCTATAAGTTTATATAAACTGTTAGATGCTTTGTAAAAAAAAAACAGCATGTATTAGAATCAGGAGATAAAGCGTTGATTGCAGTGGTGTTAGCTCATCTCCTAAGAGAAGTGACAGTATAATATGCCAGGGAACACAAAGAAGTAATTAATTCTTCCTGGGGAAGGTAGGTACTTTCTTTTATAAGAAGAGAATTAAGACACTCTTTTCTGAGTGGGAATAGCTAATCACAGGGTTTCAAACCGTTAGCATAGGGACACCCTTATTTAAATACAAGGAAGCCTACAGAGTAAGTTAATTTCCCCAAGATCATGCAACTAGCAAACAGAAGACCAGGATTCAAACTGAGACGTGATTCTCAGGTTTGCCTACATTCTCTGCAGCCCTGGGCTCCTCCACCATAGAAGGTGTTTCAGGGAGGACCACAGACTGAATGCTTACAGAAACTTCCCTTCAGGAGGCTGAAATGATGAAATAGGGCAATAAATATTTTTAAAATATGTAGTGCTTATGAACCTTCTCAATATATAAATACCCCTGGTTCTATTTGAAGATTTCTGCACATAGACAAGATCAATATTTGTTCCAAGCTGATTTGCACATCACAGAGAAAAATATAAGAGAAAAAAATCAGTGTTGTTCATACCAGCTGACTTAATGTAGAGGCTCGTTTGATCTTGAATACTAATAAATATTTCCAAAAGCAAACATCCTAGGTCTTTTAGAAGTGGGGCAACCCTTTAAAATAAGAGAATAATCTTGAGAATTATCAAGTCTTTGCAGAGATGATATAGTCACAGAGAAAAATCCAGAAACTGCATCAATCAGTTAAAACATGGCTATTTAGTGAAATAAGCAACATTGCTATTTCAGAGAAATATTTGCACACACAAAAAAATCGAAGTTGGTAACTATTTGGCTGTTATCTAGACAATGCCAGAAAAATCCAGATTTTTAAAAATATGGGCAATATAGATTTTTTCTATATCTATATCATTGTCTAGTTTTAACTTGAGAATATGGCATTTATTTGACTTCATTATTATACACTAATGGGTATTAAAATCAACAGTAATTCTGATTTGGTTTTGTGAGGTTGTTTTTCCACACTCTAAAACATTCAACAACACATTTTATCCTCCTGGTACATGCTTGCCACCTTTTAAAAACAGAGAGTAAATGAGCCCTCCGTGCTAAGCATCACTGATATCAAGTTAATATTTGATAAAGGAACCAAGCTTTTGATACCAAAATCAGCTGGGCAGGTACAATGGTATGTTCATTTTACTAACAGAAATGATTCAGATTAAAAAGAAGAACATTGTCTTCTCTGACCATCACCTGGTATGGACCACACTGAATTTTTTCTCTTAACATTTTTCTGTGTGGTATGCAAATCAGTTTGTGTCAGATATTGATCTTATAAACCAGGGGCATTTACATAATGGGACAATACATAAGCATTTTACATTCTTTTAATATTTGTTGCCCTGTTTCAGAGTTTTGGGTGCCTGAAGTGAAGCATCTATAAGCATGCAGATGAATGTTAAGAGTGGAGGTGTGTCTGAGATTGTTACAGCAGTAGTTCTGAATCTCCAGGTTGGAGCAACAAGTCATTTCTTAAGTGAACCTGTAGCTGCCTATGAGAAGTCTGGGTTGGTCTTGATTAGAATCTGCCCAGCTGTCAGTGTTCTGGCTTCTGAGATACAGATGGCATACACCAGTGATGCATAGCATATATGAGAGACAGCAAGAAATAGAGAAATAAAAACACAATAAAATCTAATTACACGGAGTTTCGCTTAAAACAAAAATTGATTGAGTTCTGCCCAAAGTGGCTTGTTGTTTCCTGTGCCAGGAACTACTGTGCGGGCCCAGCAGGAAGTGTGCTACAGAGCAGGATCACCTTACAGCCTCGTTTTATGGTTCATTTCACTTATTTAATGCAATCTGAGAACCTGCAAAAGGAGCATGTTAGGAGGAGGGAATAGTCTTTTTGTCTTGTTTTGTTTTGTTTTAAGTTTCTTTGAATCAAAACATTTGTTTTTGCAAGGTGTTTAAACTCCCAGAGAAACAGGACTTCTAGAGTTGCTAGATGGAGACATTTTTCCTTGTCACACAACGTAAAGCGAGACGCATAGTTGTGTCTAGAGTTGAGTCCTGTCTGTTTCCTTTGCTGTCCCTACCCATATCATCTTAAACATGAAGAGTTACCACCCAGCCCATGAATGGTCTAAATCATTTTGAAGTCTAAATCATTTTGAATTCCACGTGAGCTCTTCCTAGAGTCTCCGATTTGACAGAGAGCCCATGATGTTGGTGGGTGGAGGAGGGGGGTGGAGATTTCGGTTGGAAAATTGCAATTCATTTGTCAGGCAGAGGAATGAGCTCATTTCAACTGTGATGCTTGGAATTGTGTGAACTGAACAGCTGGATTTCCTTGTGGTGGCATACACTGCTCCTCACACGCTGTCTGTCTTCCCCTCCAGAGACCTCAGTATGAACAACATCAGCCGACTGCCCCCGGGTCCCCTGCACAGCCTCCGCTTCCTAGAGGAGCTGTAAGTATCACTGGAGTCCCGTTGCATCTAGTCCACCAGGGACACGTTCTTGTGTGTGCCTCTTGTACTTGCTGTGGGAACCAGATAACACAAGGCAGAGAAGCTGTCAGCACCAACAACTTTGGCACATGAGGAAACACTTAGTTGAGACGGGGGGAGGAAAAAAAAATTGCTTATGATTCTGGAAATCAACTTAAAAAAGAGTTTACCATGAGGCTACAACTTTCTAAGGTGAGACTGAGCCAAACAAATTAAAATTTTAAAACAAAGGCTGTTTAAAAGAGCTGGATAGCTCTTTGGAAATAGTTAAGCAGCAGGATATTAAAAGTTTGAATACTGGTTCATGTTTATTAAAATAGCAAGTAAAGCTATAATCAAAACCAAAACCTGCTGCCTGGTTTCGGCTTGTGACTGGGAGAATTGAGTCCACATTGCATAGCACCAAAACCTCTTGTCCTAATCACTTTTAATTACTATTTCCCTACTTTTAAATTTAGCTTCCCTCGAGGCTTCAACAGAAAAACATGAAATCCATGGAAGACTTAAAGCTGGGCTCTCTTATATTCACTATCAAAAAATTTAAAAATTTAAAAATAAAAAAGGAAGAAGCTAAAATTGGTTAATGATACACAGAGGAGCCCTGATTAAGCCTAGTAATCACTTTCCAGAAGATGAAAAAGAACTCTATAAACCAAAAATCTGCGTTTCAATATTCATTTGATCCTCTTACCCTGTGGAGGGATGGAAGCGACACACCGCCAGTCCTCGGGAAGAGCGTTTGGCACCATCAGTTGAGGAAATCCTCTGACTGTTGATTAAAGGAATTGTTTAGGCAATGGACCCTTTTGAAAATGCTTCCTTTATAAATCCTAAAGTCGGGGTCCAATTTGGGCGTAATTTAAATTGTTGATGTACTACAGAATCCACCATGGAGATGGAAAGAATGTCCCATCAGAACCAAATTGTGCTACATTGATCATCTCTTCAAGAGGGTGATATTCTCAGATTTCCCCCGTGCAAGAGTTTTATCTATATTTCTTTTGGGTGACATTATATTTTTTTTAAATGCTATTGTTTTTACTACTAAAATCAATAGAAAATGACCAATTTCTTCTCGAGGGGCATGGTAGGGGATCTGAGACTGCGCAATCGTACAGCGAATTTTTAACATTCAGAGAATGGATATTCACTCTGAGTTCCTGGCTCCTCTTTTTCCCTATTCTTTTCTCTCAGGTCATTTACCTTGCAAGGTATGAACCTTCATAAAAGCTGAAGCCATGTGTGTCTTAGTCACTGCTGGCATCTAATCAATAATCAATATATTTTTGATGAGTGGACTAATGAGAAAGTCAAACATGTAAAAGGAGCTTCTTACACATGTTAAAAACATTAGTTGATATTTTAATGATTATTTTAAGTAAATTTCAAACGTCAGAATTTTTCTTAATTATTTCCTTCTCATTCTCTGGCCTTACCACAACTAATAGTCCTGTTTGCTCCTCATTTCTAAGATATGCCTCCTTTCTTATCCTTTTCTCTTTAATTTCCTTCTAACATCCTATTGCAAAATGCTTCCCTTCTCCCCCAACACACACCTCAACTTTAGAACACAAACTGAATCCATAAATAATTCACTTTCCCAAGGACTTTGTTAATAGAGTTCCTCCCTCCATGACCCAACTCATTCAAAATAACTCCTCTGTCTTCATGAGTTGAATGCTAATTCTGTTCAGATGCCAGTTTTTCAAAAGATAATTGAGAACAATCATAAAAAGTAAGCTAGGAGATGAGGAAGGAGAAATACCATTTAAAAATTGTTTTTCTATATTGTCTTTTATTTCTCTCTCCAGAAACTTCATCAGATATCTTGACCGTAGAACCATAGAATTTTAGAAACAGAGGGGACCCTTTAAAGACTATTTATTCCTTCTATCCTAGAATTCCTTCTGCTGAGCTAGCTTACTTGCTGAATTTAAAATGAAGACTGCTTTTCCATATATACCTCTGAGCTGCATCTAAATGATGTTTTGAAGACATCACAATGGGTTTCATTGCAAGAAAGGATAGTATTTAACCTGGAAAAATGATCAACTGTGCTTGGTTTACTTTTTTGTTCCCAAGGCTAAATTAGGGGATGAAGATTTTTATTAAAAAAAAAAAAAAAAAAAACACTCCTTTAGCAGAGCATTTTGATTATTTCTTTATTATGTGGCTGATTTTCTCTATTAAACTTAGCTCTGTTTAAGTCCATATTTTCTTTTTAGAACATAAGATCTTCAAAAATGATAATATAACAGCAATCATAGCTTACTCTGTTCCAGTAACTGTTCATAGTGCTTTATGCACATCATCCCACTGAATCCTCTTAACAACCCATCAAGGTAGAGATTATTATTCCCAGTTAACAGATAAGAAAACCAAAGTACAGAGAAAAGAAGGAACTTACCCAAGATAATGAAGTCGGTGTCACAGCTAAAATTCTGGCCTGGGTCAAGGCTGATTCACAGTGACTTTGAAAGCTGTGCTTAGACAAGGGAGGAAGAGTTTGATTTGTCCTGGTTCAGCTGTACCTTGCTCTTTCCCAGTAGCACCTAATGCAGAAATTTATGTAGTCCAAATCTTTTCAGTGTCCGGGAGAATGAGTCATGTAATGATAGGTGTGTAGGTATGGGCCCATGTCTGCATCTGTGTGGGGGAATGAGAAAGGAGGCAAAGAGAACCATTTTCCCAGGAGGGAGAGGTCAGAGATTCAGGTTATTGATCTTCTAGCATCATATATTAGCTGAGAAAAATATTATCAGAATTTTCAGATACAGAGTATCTGAATGTAGCATTGTTCAATGGGTTTACAACTTTAGTTAACATTTTTATATGTAAAAATAGATGTTTAAACACCATATTTATGTGGTATTTTACTTGAACTAACATCCAGAAAGCCAGATACAGATGCTTAGATACCTGCCAGGGTGTGATATGTGTGCCTTTTATGACATAATTAGGAAACTGTTTGAAATTGTAAAGTCTTAAAGTTACCAAAAAAAGTATAAAGTCATTTGGTTTATTCAGCTCATGTTATATTTTATCACTTTATGCATCAAATAGGAAACTGCTACTGATACTGTCAATTATATTAAGAAAACACAACTGGAAAATTCAGCCTTTAAAAATCAGTATCGATAAAACCAAGTTACCACCCTTTCCCTTAGTTCTAATAACCCAGTGTATCATTTCTCTTATTTTCTTCATTTAACTGTGTTATAAACTGTGTAGACAGCCATGCTTTGCCCCTCATCTATCACTAAAGCCTAACAAAGGTGCCATAGTTCAAAGCTCTGGAGATACAGAGTTAATGTTTAAAACAACATGTAACTGGATAAAGTGCCTATCTGGAGCAAATATTTAAGAAGAATAAAAGCCATCACAGTAAATGGTCTCCCCCACCTCTCTCTCTAGTGTGCATTCTAAATTAAATTACATTCTAGAGTAATTGCTGCCTGGGCCACAAGTTTTCGGGTCTTGCTTGTTATTTGCTATTTATTGTTTTATGATTCTGCAAAGTGACCAGGTGTGCATAGGCCAATCATTTTACTGGTGGCGATGTACTAGGACTAAGAGGAGAGTCTTTGCTTTTGGAAAAAAGAGAGAGAGAGAGAGAATTCTAAATGTAGGGAGACCGGGCTGCACCTGAGAAAAGAGTGCAGCATCTAGAGCCAAAGCCCAGAATTTCCTTTCCTGGCGCTGCCATTCACTCGCTGGTAATCCATTCAACCTCCCTGGGCCTTGGAGAATAATAGTGAGAGCCTCTCTGCCTATCTTTGAGGCTGTTTCTGAGGATCAAATGAAATGATGTTGAAAGAACTTTGGTAAATTATAATATACATATTGTTGTATTCATAAAATGAAAACATCTTCAAGAAGATCTAACTTTTTCCTGTTTCATGAACCTGATTTTGCAGGAATCCCAGAAATCTGGGACCTGTGAAGGAAAAGCTATTTCCAGCTCTGATCTCTAATGACCATAGCTAATGTTGGCAGAGAGTTCTTTACCAAATTTTCACAACCTGAACAAGCATTGCATTTCTCTCTGCCAATACCTCTCCCAGCTCTTTAGGTTCAGTTCTGCTAAGGACATCATATTCATACTTCGTGGACAAATAAAAGGTCTTACATTTGGCCCTAAGAGTGTGGTTTACAGTTAAGAGCTAATGGCAAATGATACTTATCGCTAGCATCTACAAATTACAGTAAACTTAGATTAGTAGTCTCATTAAACCAGGGAGGACTCAGTTGTTTCCATTTTTAAAATAGTCTAAGTTAAAGGCTTTTATTTCCGAGTAGCATTTTAAAGTCTTCCCAGATTTTAGTGCTATTGGAATCAAATACTCGATTTAGAAAAGAAACATGAGATGCTCTAGGGAGGTCTGTTTTTAAGTTATTGTTCCCTGGAACTGTTTGCTCATATTATGGTTGGCCTTGAGGAATCTCTATATAAATAGCAGATATCTATTATTACAGATGAAATTTCTAATGAGAGACACTAGCAAACTTCCTGAAAGTGTAATCTGTGCTCGCTGCTTGTACTTCCTCGCCATGTTACTGAAAATGGTGAGAGCTGTCCTGCCTGTCTTTTGAGTTTTGTTTTGTTTTTCCTGCAGATCAAGTGAAATGATGATGAAGAACTTTGGGAAATGATAATGCACATATTGATTGTATTTGTAAAGCCAAAACACCTCCATGCCCATGAATGATCTTCATTGGGCTTGTCACAGTGATTAGTTTCTTGTTCTCATAATTCTGGCAATTGATTATAAATGCTGCTTCCTTAAAATTCATGGCAATGATTTTGGTTCTCTTCCATGTCTATCCATACAACTAGACATAAGCATTTAGACAGCTGTTATTGTGTGTGTGTGTGTGTGTGTGTGTGTCTTGTGTTGACAGTTAGGACCCTATTTTGAAAGTACCCTACCTCTCTGCCTCCTTTTTTTTCCCCCTTTTTC